CACAAATGTGCGGCGGATGTCCTCCCGTCTTGGGCCGCTCTCTCTGCTGCCTCATGCATTTATTCACAAGATTAGCTACCATGGGTCAAGCCAAGAGAACTGCACCTCCGTTCATATTCAAATTATCATCGTATTGAATGTTTTGCCTATATTCGCCGAATAAAGATAATGGGATTTTTTTACAATATCATCTTTCATTTTTACAATAAGTAAAGATTAATGTGTGAGCACCACCAGCCATTTGGACTGGTCGGTACAGCGACAGCCTTGCTTTTGAAGGTCAGCGTTCGATTCCCGATGATCTAAGTCTCTTAAGAGGTTGAGTACCATTTCTTCCCTCCGCCTTATTTCCGCTCCTTGTCCCTTCATAGTACGACATAAGTCATACTGGCTTGGTACCTTCTCCTCACAATGACCTTACTTTGAAGACATCTAAACGAAATATTAATAGGTTGACTGGCATTTTGTTGGTCAGGTCCGAGCACTGTAGGCGGCCAGCTATTCCTTGCTGAGAGGCATAGTTAATATATATATATATATATATATATATATATATATATATATATATATATATATATATATATATATATATATATATATATATTATTGAAGAAGGAACTGACGGCTTCACAGTGAAAATACAAGTACGGAACCCATCTCTTGAAACCATTATATATAGGTTATGTATAACACACATTCACAGAATGTTACAATAATGTTTTAGCTTTGCGATTTATGTGAGAAAGTTTAACCTGACCTCCAATATAAACAATAAAATAATACAAATGTTCACGGATCATAATCTTGGTTATTATAATTGATAAATTGTAAATTGTATAAAGCACAATAAAATCATTTCCGGGTTATAATAGTTGTTCATAGCCTCATGATAAACACCACTGGACTCGGAGATGAAGGGAGGCTGAGACATCTTTACTGAGGCCTCTTCACCGAGACATCTTCACGGCGGCATCTTCCCGGCGGCTTACCAGACGCTCACGTCTTAACATTATAAGTGATCACCACACAGTGAATGTCAACAAATGTAAGTGAACATGTGTAAGTTACAGGAAATGTCATGTTAACAAATGTTACATCAACAACGGTAATGTTAAACTGAAAAACAGATAGTAATACACAATCGACTGTAATCATTTACAACTGGTGTTTTTTCAACAGTGGTAATTTACAACTGTAGTAATTTACAACTGTGGTAATAATTTACAACTGTGGTAATAATTTACAACTGAGGTAATTTACAACTGGCGTTTTTCAACTGAGGTAATTTACAACTGTGGTAATTTACAACTGACTTTTTCAACTGAGGTAATTTACAACTGAGGTAATATACAAGTGTGGTGTTTTCGGAGGGTAATAACTGAGTAGTGCAGTGTTCAGTGAGGAGGCCCCAGCCGCGAGCCCTGGGTAAATATCGGCGAGGGAGCTTGTGTTGTGACGGGCGGCGGCCGGTAAATAGTGCCAGGATAATTACTTCCCCCCCCCACTCCCCCCGAGGCCAGCCCTCACCACACACCTCCCCCCCCCCTTCTCACTCCTACAAGCTTCTTTCACAGCTCTATGAGCCCCACCAGGGTTCGAACCTACATATCCCCCCCCCCCTATATCCACAAGATCAATCCCCGAGTGACTGCTTATTTTTCCCTGGCATAAAAAGGGCCATTTGAAGGTTGAAGATTTTAGAACATTCATGAGAAGGGCGGGAGATACAGTCCATTTTGGTCTACAGTTTAGACCTATTGTCTTATGTATGACCTCTGCCGTGCGTGACAGTGAATACCAGCATTATTCTCACTTTAATAAGACTATCAAAATCCTCAGATTAGGCAAAATTGTAGTTAATTTTGTCAATAAAGATGTTAATAATAATAATAAGTCCATTTTAGAAGGGAAAGGGGGGGGGCCGAAGAGGAAATGGCTTCGTTCAGTAATGACAACCGATTACACGATGCCTTTAAAATGGCCTCAGGGCCGCAACACCCTGTGGAGGTCCAAAATATGTTTTTATGTTCCATTATTGGGCGTCTTGGGAAATCATGGAACAGCATGCGACCCGTAAGAAGAAAATGGATCCCTGAGGGGGGTAGCTAAAACAATTCTTCTCTCCGACTGTGTTCACATATATCGGCCAAGCTATACGTTACGCAACCAAAGTATCCTTTTATATTATAAAAGTCTAAAATAAATGAAAAAAAGAGGCTGAAAACACGTAAAACTTTTTTTAATAAACCTTTATTTGCATCATAATAATATTATGTGTGGGAGTTTCCTCTGTAAATTGAGATGACTTGTGTTCGAATCGTGCGCGGGACGCCTGGACACCTTGTCTGTACCCGGTTCCTGCGTGTGTGGCCACACCCAGCCACCACCAGCCGCCACACCCAGCCACCAGCAGCAGCCACACCCAGCCACCATCAGCCGCCACACCCAGCCACCAGCAGCAATGCCTCGCGTTTTATATATATTGCCTCGATCTATCTTGAGGTTATCTTGAGATGATTTCTGGGCTTAGCGTCCCCGCGGCCCGGTCCTCGACCAGGCCTCCTTTTTGTTACACACCCCCAGGAAGTGTATAGTTATGGTTTAGTCTTAGACTTTAGGCCTGCAGGCCTTAAGTCTTGGCCTGTGTGTGTCAACTTGTGGAGGATTATTAAGGCAGGATTATTATTAAGGCAGCCACAGTAGCTAACTAACCAGCCAATGAGTATACTTTAGTGGTGAGCTAAAGTCAATTGCTACTAGTACACGTACACTGAGACTCGGTATATTCAACTGTCAAGCCGTTGCAGATTCGCGGGAATTATTGGAGAAGGTGATGTGTACTAATGACTCTCAGCCACGCATGATGCCATGCATTTACCCATTGCACCATGATGGCTGTAGACCGAGCCTGCACCACAACAATGATATAAGGTAATCCTCGCAACAATTACCTGCGGATTGCATAAATTGTGCCGCTACGACTGCCCAACACACGCTACAATTTGCCATTAATTACTGAAAATGGTTATTGGAATGCCTCCACTAATGCCATTTGAGTATATCACATCCGGTAACAAGCTGCCCCACTTTTCCTAGAGCAGCAATAAATGAAGTTAACAAGACGTTTCCTTTATAACAACACAATACCTGTTATATTTCCCAGGTCTGGTATTATACCCAGGATGAAAGGGGAGATGGGCGTCGGGACGGGAGGTTAGTGTGGGAGGGAATAATGCTGGCTGGGATGGGGGGGGGGGCGAGACGGAAGGAACGGGAAAGTGGATGGGTGGGAGGGAAGGAACGGGGGAGTGGGTGGGGGGGAGATGATTTCGGGGCTTTAGTGTCCCCCACGGCCCGGTCCTCGACCAGGCCTCCACCCCCCAGGAAGCAGCCCGTGACAGCTGACTAACACCCAGGTACCTATTTTACTGGTAGGTAACAGGGGCATAGGGTGAAAGAAACTCTGCCCATTGTTTCTCGCCGGCGTCCGGGATCGAACCCAGGACCACAGGATCACAAGCCCAGCGTGCTGTCCGCTCGGCCGACCGGCTTTGGGTGGGAGAGAAGGAGGGGGGGTCGAGGATGGGGCCGGGGGGGGGGGGGGGGGGGGGGGGTAGTTAAGGAGGCGGCGCCGCCTGAGTGATCGCTATAATGGCCGGGGAAGCAATTGTGCTCCAGGTTGAAAAGCCTTCACCGAACTCCTCAAATGACCTCAATAACCATCTAGTACAACAAATGATAAATAGTCCAATATTAACATTATAACGAACACAATAATAATTATTCGTGCACGTCTTCCTACGTCCGGTGAGCACGCCGGGCTCACCATAGCCCGTGCTGCCTGCCCTGTAGCTGAATCTGATACAACATAATAATTATAGCAGCAATGATCGTCAGAGAGAAGACACAACAATCACAGCCTTCTTGATCAACACTTAAACAGGATAATGTTTGAAGAAATGAGAGGGTTCGAACCACTGGCCTGGGTATTCCCAAGGCGCGCACCTTACCTCTCGACCAGGACATTTACAACTTAAACTAGATCTTACTGGCTACTGATGCAAAACTTACCAGTGAGATTACACACTTTTTAAGTGTACTTTTATGTACATATTTTCCATCAGATTATAACTTTTTGTGAAATACTGAACTTGTTGTTTTATACATTATAATCCCACGACGAATAAAGGTTTAGCTCCACAATGAGCCATAAATACGCCATACAAACACTAATCAGAAAATGTATATGTTTATCTCTCAGAATGTTCGGCAATATGTTTATTGCTTGTGATGTGTGTCTATGTATGTATTAACACCATGTACTGAACGGGGTGAGAATAGCTTGAGCTACCTCATCCCTTTGTGTGTATTTTACCTCAATAAACTTATTTCAATTTCAACACTAATAAGAACATAAGAACAAAGGTAACTGCAGAAGGCCTATTGGCCCATACGAGGCAGCTTCTATCTATAACCACCCAATCCCACTCATATACTTGTCCAACCCACGCTTGAAACAATCGAAGGACCCCACCTCCACCACGTTACGCGGATACATGTCACCATAATCCAACCCGTTCTCGCACTTTCTTACAGTCAATATTGACTTATTAAATACGTGCATATGTGACTAACTAAACATACTAGTTTACCTTGAAAAGCTTCATAGAAAACACCGACCTTACCTAACCTTCTTAGTATGTTAAGATAAGCATCTTATTGCTTCGTAATTACTATTATTACTTAACCTATACCGATAATAGTTTAAGTAATAATTGTAATTACGAAGCAATAAGATGCTTATCTTAAACTATGAAGGTTAGAGAAGGTCGGTGTTTTCTATGAAGCTTTTCAAGGTAAACTAGTATGTTAAGTATGTCACATATGCACGTATTTAATAAGTCAATATTGACTATACGAAAGTGCGAGAACGGGTTACCATAATCACTCGAGGGACTGCCACGTTGACCAAAAACCACAAGGCCGTACACGACACATACCTGTCCCGTTGGGGTCATTACTGTTGGGGTTGATGGGTCGTCCGTGGATGCAGGTGTTGAGTGTGGGCGGCGGTGGCGGGGGCGGGCGGGCGGGCACGGCCGGAGGGCTGGTCTCCGTGTCACACACACCCACTCCGTCTGGGCTCCCCGCCTGCCCGACGGGCATTCCGTGCCTATTATCTATATGCCTGACCCATTCTTCGCCACGCCTCTTGTCCTCCTACACTCTGAAACACGCAACACTATTTTCATTCTACTTTCACTGCCCTCAAAATAATACATAACACTTATACTCACAGTTGGTACAAATATATAATTATTTTATAAGTTACAAAAACATAAATTACTGTAAATACAAAACTGTATCTCATTTTATCAATGAAATATAGTTTTGTATATATCGTTAAATATATAACGATATATTTATATATAACCACACAATCGTTAAAACTAAAGGATTTTATCCGTGAAAACTAACTCATTTTGTCATTGAAAACATATCATTAAATACTAATTTTATCACTGAAAACTAACTCATTTAATCACTAGGAAAAACACATCATTTTTAATTACACCTTAGTAGGTGTAGTTGACAAAATAACACTACACCGACGGAGAGTTTAAAACATGTCAACAAATTCTTCTCCCAAATGTTCAGACAACGTCCAATTATTTTCTGTAAAATATAATATTACCCAAACTCCTATCCCAAATTGGTAAAGCCTCCATATTTACTGTTACACAAAGTTCAAAGTAATTATAAACTGCTTAGGAAAAGCAGCACTGGTGTTCATTTTCCCTGTAATGTGACCAGCTGATGCAGATCTCACGTGTAATGGCCCAAATATCGACCATAATATTGTCATTACTGTTAATAGTTTACCACTGTCAGAAATTAATAAGTTATCACTGTCGTGATGCTTCGGAACTAATCACATACATCATACTATATCCTATGAGACACTAACTGCTCATGTATGTCAACAGACTAAATATCTCCTTGACCTGTAACCTGATTAGCTAAAATAAGTTTCTGGTTTCAGATATATTATATATATATATATATATATATATATATATATATATATATATATATATATATATATATATATATATATATATATATAATATAGCCTTCCTGCCTATTTATGTCCAGTACTCGATCTGTAAAACCACTCCTTCTGAAGATGTATTAATATACGAAAGTACTTACGGAAATTCCTGTTTCATTTTTCCTCCGTGGTCTGACACTGTCATATATATATATATATATATATATATATATATATATATATATATATATATATATATATATATATATATATATATATATATATATATATATATATATATATATATATATGTAATATATATATATATATATATATATATATATATATATATATGTAATATATATATATATATATATATATATGTAATATATATATATATATATATATATATATGTAATATATATATATATATATATATATATATATAATATATATATATATATATATATATATATATATGTAATATATATATATATATATATTTGTTACGGAAATATATATATGTTCATTCGCATATAGTCCTGGGGACCATTCAGGCTTGTTCGCATATATGTAATATATATATATATATATATATATATGTAATATATATATATATATATATATATATATGTAATATATATATATATATATATATATATATATATATATATATGTATGTATATATATATATATATATGTAATATATATATATATATATATATATATATATATATATATATATATATATATATATATATATATATATATATATGTAATATATATATATATATATATATATGTAATATATATATATATATATATATATGTAATATATATATATATATATATATATGTAATATATATATATATATATATGTAATATATATATATATATATGTAATATATATATATATATATATATATATATATATATATATATATATATATATATATATATATATATATGACTCCCTAAAGCAGTGCTCGTAGTGACTGGTCAACAACATTAATATATAAGGTCAACAATGACCCCGAGGATGTGAGTCTGTAGGCCCCGGCAGATCACACTCCCTAACCCGTCATTACCTTCCTGGCCCAGAGATGAGCAACCTCGCACTGTCATCCTCCTTCGGGCTCCACATGCCAAGTATGCTGTGTCTGGCCAGGCATGACATGGGGCTGGTCAGGGCTGGCATATGGCTGGACAAGAGAGATAGGGGCTATGAAGGAGAGGTAGAGCTGGATGGACACTGCACGAGTCATAATAGGTTTCAAAAAGCTGTTCAGGACTGGGCAAAAAATTGAACACCTCAGGTCCAAGTCGGCAGCCCTGCCCTCAACGGTGCTACATGAATCTGGGCAGGATCGGAATAAGACTGGATGTCGATGAATAAGGCTGGGGATAGAGGTACAAGGCTGCGAAGGACTAGGCAAGTATAGACCAGGCTGGGCAGGATTAAGCAGAGAGAGAGAGAGAGAGAGAGAGAGAGAGAGAGAGAGAGAGAGAGAGAGAGAGAGAGAGAGAGAGAGAGAGAGAGAGAGAGAGAGAGAGAGAGAGAGAGAGAGAGAGAGAGAGAGAGAGAGAGAGAGACAGAGAGAGAGACAGAGAGAGAGACAGAGAGAGAGACAGAGAGAGAGACAGAGACAGAGAGAGGTGCAGGATGAAGTAAATGGTATAGATATTTGCCACCCAAGCAGAGGGGGAAACTAAAGGTCACTGTAAACGTGATTGTCCCGACCAATCTGCCGAACAATGGTTCTGGGCGCTGATTGGCTGGCGGATGACATACACCTACTTACCTATCAGTGACCGACATATAAAGTCTTTGTCGAACCTGGTCTTAAAGTTGTGCACAGAGGTGGCTTCTACAACTTTGTTCAGTACATTCTATTTGTTGACCTCCCGTACAGGGTATGAGTATTTCCTTGCATTTATTATATTGATTTACTTATCCAGCTTCCACTTATATCCTCTCGTCCTACTTTATCTCACTTTAAGCAAGTTGTCCTTCTCTACTTTGTCAATTCTCTTCAATACGAAATGAAACTAAAGAACCTAACCCAACTTGACCTATCAATCCTTGGCTTAATATACAATATATTGTGTCTAATATAGTACATATATGTGCTATACTAGGCCTAGAAATGTTTAAGATCGGTTTTATAATTTTTGATGAAACTATCAAGTTAAAAGTTTAAAATGTGAACTTTTTGGAGGCCCAACGTAACATACTGGCGCTTTGGACCAAATACCTGGTCCCTGCTATAAGTACTATACTTATAGCAGATCCCTGCTATAAGTACTATACTTATAGCAGATCCCTGCTATAAGTACTATACTTATAGCAGGATGGGTGGCTATAAAGAGCTGCCTCGTATGGGCCAACAGGCCTTCTGCCATACGACGCTATGAGAGGTAATGGTCAGTAGTAGGGAGGAAGACGCACAGACGATATTTTTTTTGGGGGGGAAAATATCGTCTGTACGGCTTAGGGGTTTTCAGGCGATATTTTGTTTCTGGGAAATATCGTCTGTGTGGCTTAGGGTTTTTCAGGCGATATTTTGTTTCTGGGAAATATCGTCTGTACGGCTTAGGGTTTTTCAGGCAATATTTTGTTTCTGGGAAATATCGTGTCTGTGAGCCAGGGTTTTCAGGTGAATTTAGAAATCGTCTGAGTGGCTTGGGGGGTTCCGGGTGAATTTGGGGAGTCACAGATTTGGAAGTAAGGAATTCTTATGAGGAAAATAATTTCTGAGATTTTAGAAGTTTGTTAAGGTTTCTTATGATGAAAATAAGTAGGAAAATCTTAATGAAAAGTTTTAGAAAAAATCGTGTTTGTGTCACAGCATTTCCAGGTAAACTCTATGGACAACCTTTGCCCGTTTTCAATCACACATTTTCAAAGAGCATTTTCAGAGAATATTGTCTTAGACGTTTTGTTAAGGAAAACGTACAACTTAGCCATAACATTTAGTTTTATATCCATTTACGGCTATTTCACCTGTAAAGACCAAAATTGAACAGAGCCCAGTTTTAAGCTCATATTTCATCAGAGTCCAGTTTATACCTAAAAATGAACAGAGTCTACTTTGAGAGCAAAATTAGCCAGAGACAGTTTTAGCTCATATTTCATCAGAGTCCTGTAATCTGCGAAAATTTGACAGAGTCCATTTTATACCCAATTTTCGTCAGAGTCTACTTTGTGAGCAAAATTAGTCAGAGACAGTATTTAGCTCATATTTCATCAGAGTCCAATTATCAACAGAAATTCGCCAGAGTCTACTTTGAGATCAAAATTAGTCAGAGACAGTTTTAAGCTCATATTTCATCAGAGACCATTTTATACCTAAAAATAAACAGAGTCCACTTTGTGAGCAAAATTAGTCAGAGACAGTTTTAAGCTCATATTTCATCAGAGTCCAGTTTATACCTAAAAATGAACAGAGTCTACTTTGAGAGCAAAATTAGCCAGAGACAGTTTTAGCTCATATTTCATCAGAGTCCTGTAATCTGCGAAAATTTGACAGAGTCCATTTTATACCCAATTTTCGTCAGAGTCTACTTTGTGAGCAAAATTAGTCAGAGACAGTATTTAGCTCATATTTCATCAGAGTCCAATTATCAACAGAAATTCGCCAGAGTCTACTTTGAGATCAAAATTAGTCAGAGACAGTTTTAAGCTCATATTTCATCAGAGACCATTTTATACCTAAAAATGAACAGAGTCCACTTTGTGAGCAAAATTAGTCAGAGACAGTTTTAAGCTCATATTTCATCAGAGTCCAGTTTATACCTAAAAATGAACAGAGTCTACTTTGAGAGCAAAATTAGCCAGAGACAGTTTTAGCTCATATTTCATCAGAGTCCTGTAATCTGCGAAAATTTGACAGAGTCCATTTTATACCCAATTTTCGTCAGAGTCTACTTTGTGAGCAAAATTAGTCAGAGACAGTATTTAGCTCATATTTCATCAGAGTCCAATTATCAACAGAAATTCGCCAGAGTCTACTTTGAGATCAAAATTAGTCAGAGACAGTTTTAAGCTCATATTTCATCAGAGACCATTTTATACCTAAAAATGAACAGAGTCCACTTTGTGAGCAAAATTAGTCAGAGACAGTTTTTAGCTCATATTTCATCATAGTCCAATTATCAACAGAAATTCACCAGAGTCTACTTTGAGAGC